ATAGAAAATAACCAGGGAAATAGTCCGAGCCCATCAAAAGAAACCCGACGAAAAACGAATGGGAATTGACAGAGATACTAATGTACATGGTTTATTTGTGGAAAAATCGTGCTACTTCCTCATACACGCCGATTCACGGCTTGCACTAACAATACCAAATGTAAAAAAAGTTAATCCGGGCCCATTAAAACAAACCCGACGGAAAACGGTCAAGAACTGAGGGAGATACCAATCCAGTGTCAGCTCCGCGGCTGATCTGTGCGTGGGAAACGGTCCCCAGCACCCTACAGATGTTTTAAAAATATGAAAAAATACCAGGTACCTGCGTTAATACTATATAAAATGGTTCGCAAAATTTCAGGACATTCGGCGCAGTATCAAGCGAGATATAATAAATTATGTGATTAATTTCCACTTGGCACCCTCAAGATCGCATAATATCGAGTTGAGGTAATAATACAAACTGTAGAGGACATTAACACGCGCCCGTTGAAAAAAACCCGAAGAGAAACGAATAAGAACTGACAGAGATACAAATGTAGTGTCTGCTCTGCGCGTGGTCTGTGCGTGGGAAACGTCTTCCAGTGCCTCACGGCATGTTAAAAAAATGTAAAGAAATGTCGAAAACTTGTGTTGATAATATATAAATTAGTACGCAAATTTATAAAACATTTGGTAAGGTATTAAGCGAGATATAAGAATAATACCATACAGTTTTGTGTGGGAAATAAGAAAATCGCCATAGTCTCCTCGGGATCGCCGAACGACGAGTCGGACTAATAATACAACATGTAGAGGACATCAAGACGCGCCCATGGAAAAAAACCCGACGAGAAACGGATGAGAACTGACAGAGATATGATAGATTTATGAAAAGAATCACGTGTATATGTTTAGTTTGAGGAAATTCACGTGAGCAATTGAGCGTAACCTCCCACAACTTTTTTCGCGCACAGACATATGCGAAAAAGTACTAATACCCCCACTCAAAACCGGTTTACACCCCCCATGGGAGCAATTCTTTTTTGTTCCCATGTGACTTTGGCATGTAAAATAGATGAAATAGATAGATAAATAGATAAAATAGGTAGATAAATAGGTCATAATAGTCGTAAATAATAATAATAATAATAATAGTAGTAAATAGTGAATAAATACTTATAGTAATAGTAATAGTAGTACAGTCAACTCCCTCATAACACATACCCTGCGTAACCCATACTCTCTTCTAACCCATACATTCTTGAATTTCCCGAGTTGGTTTACAGTAAGTTCAAGTAGATACCCATACCCCATACCCCATAGCTATGTTCGAGTACAATAACCCATACCTTGAGTCGGGTAATGCCGAGTGTTAATCCCAGGATGGCAATTGCATCCCGACTGCCGACACCGAACTCATTCCTTTCCATGTTGTGATGAAACAAGTCAACATTCTCAAAAAGGGGTTGAAAAAGCTTCAAGATGAGACTTCAGACCGGAAACGGAAGCTTGAGGCTGACTTACAGGCACTACGACCAATTTCAGAGGTTGATGAAGAATGGTTGGATAATACCGGAAATCTGGTTGATGAGGAGCGTGTTGTAGGAGAACTGGAGACTGCATCAGACCTTGAAGCAGCCTACGAAGCACTGGGTCCACAAGATCAACTTATTGTGCAAAAGCTGCAGAGGCTTGCAGCAAACGGACAGAAGAGTGATGATATTTCGAAGAAGCGCAAACATATGGATTAAAATTCTGATTTTTGAACTTGCTAAGCTATTTATAGGCCCGAGCCAGAGTGGGGCGAATGCTCCTGCCAATAAGAAATGTTCCAAGTTGCAGGAACCCCAGCGAAAGGAAAATGCAACACTCCAACAACGCATTGAGATTCTTGACTGGCATCACTGCAACGGGAAAAACCAGTCCAAGACAGCACGGTATTTTAATGGAATCTACCCTGCCCTTCATCTTAAACAGCCAAGAATCTCTGCATGGCTCAAGCATGAAGCAACTTGGCGAGTGGAGTATGAGAGCAGCAGTGGCACTGGCCGTTCTGTGAAACGTGTACGTCAGACACAACACCCTGAGGTCACGGAGATGCTTGAGCTGTGGATCTCAAAAGCATTGGCCGAGGGTGTTCTTCTTACGGGTGATGTCTTCCGTGAAAAATGGAGGAGATTTGCGGATCTTGTTGGCATACCAGAGGATGAGTGACTACACCTTAGCGAGGGATGGTTGACTCGGTTCAAAGCACGCGCAGGTTTGAAAGAGTTCAAGCAGCATGGTGAGGCCGCATCAGTGTCCTCCAATGTTGTCAACAAAGAACAGCTGCGCATTCAAGACCTCATAGGGAAATCTGACTACGAGTTGTGTGACATCTTCAATGGCGATGAGACTGCATTGTTCTATGCGTATGTGAAGTTCAATCAAGCTCAGATTACAGATGGTCTGAAAGTTTATTTGATTAGCATGCCACCCGATCGCGGACTTTCCGACAAACAGCAGTCAGGTGTCAAGGGCCAAAAAAATAGGTTGACCTTGTTATTCGTGGCAAATGCGGATGGCTCAGCAAAGCTCCCACCACTCATCATCGGGAAGTATAATAAGCCGCGCGCATTCAAGGGCAAGACTGGGGCACAGCATGGCTTCGACTACCATCACAATGCTAAAGCATGGATGACTGCTTTGCTCTATCAGGAGTGGCTATCACACTGGGACGAGGAATTAAGGAAGGAAGGAAGGAAGATTTTGTTGCTGCAGGACAACTTTTCAGGTCACGTCGTACCAGAAACCCTTACCAACATACAAGTTGAAAACTTCCAACCAAACCTGACTGCCCATGTTCAGCCCAATGACCAGGGCATTATCCAGTGCTTCAAAGCACACTACCGTTCCACATTTATTCGCCGCTCCATCGATCTCTATGATGCAGGGACCACTCCCTCCGAGATCTACAACATCGACCAGCTTGAAGCAATGCACATGGCTTTGCAATCATGGGATGAGGTGGACGCTACGACAATACAAAATTGTTGGCGTAAATCTGGTATTTTACCAACCAGGCCGGACCCACCACCCATCCAACCATCACTCCCCATTTCATCTCTTGTCCACTCCGATCCTGACCATTCACTCTTGGCAACACCCATCGATCAAATTTCACAGGCTGAGAACGACATTCAAAGTGCCTTGGATGATTTGCAGTCAATCGGAGCTTTACAAAAGTCAAATCGGATGTCACTCAGTGAGCTCCTCAACCCAGCTGCTGAGTCACACGAAATCTACAGCGCGACAGATGAAGACATCTACACAGCAGTCATGGAAGCAAAGAAGGCCCATAGTGACTCGGATGCAGACAGTTCTGGCATGCCCAACTCTGACGAACCAGCCGTTACTCGTCGCGAGGCACTCCAGGCAGTTTTGACACTGCGGAAATTCACAAAGACAATCAATGATCCTTTCTTTCGGAATGCTGAGGTGATGCTTGCATCTTTGGGACAGCGGGCACGAGCCATGGAGAGAAACATGAAGGACACTCACTTGACAGACTACTTTCCTCGTACATAGTACCCTAATATCCATAGAAGCTATAGACACACTAAAACTTTCGTCATCCCGCTAGTCGCACATCTCTCGCATACCCCATACTCTCTCATAACCCATACATTGTAACCTCTCCCGACGGGTATGCGTTATGAGGGAGTCGACTGTAGTAGTATTTTTGTTGTATAAGTTATTGTTTTTTGTCGAAAATTGGCATGTACAATCAATGGTGGTATTGTTTTTTTCTTTGTATTTTCGCTATTAGCATGTAAAATAGATAAATAAATAGGAAGTAAGTAAGTTAAAATCCGGAGTTTCCAACAACAGAACCAAATGAACTAAGGTTCCAGATAAGGTAAAAATTCGAAAAATTCACGGCAACATGGGACAACATGAAATAGAAACATCCAAAAATAAAACCAAGGTATTCTATATAAAATAAAATCTGAAAAAATTGCGGCAATGTGGGAAAACCAAGAAAAATAATACCAAGGTATTCTATACAAATTAAAATCCAGATAATTCACGGCAACAGGGGACAGGAAAGAATAAAAAGATAGAAAAATAAAAGGTGCTCTCTATAAAATAAAATCAAAAAAAATCATGGCAACATGGGGAACACTGCTTTATAAATAACAGCAAAAAACCTGATAGAGAATGAACAAATTTCATGGTAAATTTGTGGAAATAGCCAGAAAAACAGCAAATAAAAATACACAAATGTGCTCAAGGGTGTAAGGTGGGTATGTGGTCCATGTAATTTGTGTAGCAGGCCCCGCTTCCGGTGCATTGTCAGCAGGGGGAAAGGCATTTCTCATTTGTGTACATGATTAATGGGGGGGGGGGGTTTGGGGTGCAGCCCCAAGGCTCTCCGCAGGAGTGGGGTTCGGGGCAACGCCCTGATGGCCCTCCGCAGGAGCAGGGGTTCAAGGGGCTGGCCCCTTGGTGTAAAAAATAATCAAATATATCCAGGGGGGTTTGGGGTGCAGCCCCAGGCTCTCCGCAGGAGTGGGGCTTGGGGCAACGCCCCAATAGCTCTCTGCAGGAGCTGGGGTTCAAGGGGCTGGCCCCTTGGTTCATAAATAATCACCATATATCTCATTATTTCTTTAGCACATGGGGAACAATAATACCAAGGATGTCGTTGCATGGGGCAGAGCCCCAATGGGGTCTGGGGCAACGCCCCAGGGGGGTTCGGGGCGCAGCCCCGATGCCCTCTGCAGGAGCTAGATGAACGGTACCATTCAGCCATGGCCAGTTCGTCGATTGCTGTGGTTTCCATCAATTTGATGGGCCAAATGATTGAGCCGGTGTCATTACCTGGAGTGGTCCATGATTCAAGTATGACACACTACATCAGTATGAAGTGTCATGCCTCCAAATCGACGTTACCTCTCACCCAGTCGTTTCCTCTGGACACCCCTTTGCTTCATCCTCCTGAGCTAGAGTGTTCACGCGAGCTGCAATGCTCAACCATGGCGCACCCACTACGCACGATGCATACTGTCACCGCAGCGTATTGTGTGATAGAGCTGACGTCTTCGCTGGGCCAGTCGAACCTGTCGACTGTCATTTCACACCGTCCCCTGGAGCTAGCGCATCTACTTGAGTCGTACAGTTCAGCGGTGGTCCATCCGTTGACCTTAGCGTATCGCCAGATGAACCTTCTGGCCGATCCCTTGCGTTGCCCGACCGAGTCGGCATACTTGCGTGAGACAGATTACTCAGGGGTAGGAGAATCAAACAAGGACCATCTGGCTGTTCTTACATCCTGCGTTCTCGAACCTGGGTGTTCGCACCATCTGTATCACTCAGCCCTGACTAGTCGACCAATTGTGACGAATCACATCCGTTTATCGTGCCAAGCGGTCAAGCCGACCCCTTTATCTACTCTTGTAGGCCTATTGACTGTTTCTATGCACTCCCTTCTCGAGGCAGCACACTGGCAGTGGTCGCACCACTTGGTATCAGCACACACACTAATTAAGACTCGTCCCGCTAGTACATTGCACTGTGCAGACGAGTCGACATCCTCATACAACTGGCTGGATCTCCGTGCAGTACCCACTTGTCAACTCCCTGAGCCAGCATACCTGCATGGGCTATGCTGTTCGCCAGTAGCCCATCTATTGATCTCGGCGCGTTTCACCAGGATGACACGCCAGGCATCTGAGCCAGAATTCACGCATGTCCACTCAGGTCCTCTAGCTGATGCAGGTTACCATCTTCTCGAGCCAGCTCTTTCATATGGCTCACACGTGGTTTGTACATCGTCGGCAACGCATCCCATCAGATCAGCGCAACGTACGGTCAAGCCGCCCTTCCACGACCAGTCGGATCCACCGGTGGTTCCTGTCCACTGTCCTCTAGATTTGGCATGCACCATGATCCATCATGAAGTTGAGCTGTCATCCCCATTTGGTCTGTCAGATTTCTCGGCAATTCCTGCGCCATATTCCCTTGAGCAAGTACCTTCACGGGTATGGACACAGCCAGAGCTCGAGTTGTCGCACATGGAGCCACTACGAGCATCACTGTCCATGTCGTGTCCCAAATCTCTCAAACGGATATACACCATATCGCTGTGCTTGGAAATGACAGGCACGATGCAAGCGCCGCCATGGCACCATCCTTGTGAGACGCAGTACCCACCGGATGTGGTACACCCCACATCGTGGCAGTCATCAAGCGTGGTTTTCATTCAGGTTGTGTGGTCAGCTACACGTCGGACCCGACCAAGAGTGGACCTAGGAAGAGCCCTTATACCCCGTTGGTGGTCTCAGGTCATCCCAAGCCTGGCAAATTACGTGCCACGTGGTGTTGTGCGAATTCAAGGCCATGATCATCCACATGGCATTTATAAGCATGGCAACAGCAGCATTATGATACAAGTTGCCTCCTTCCCTGCTGGAAGACTAAACGCTACACCGTGTTACCACAAGAACCCGAGCTCCGACAGAAAAACCGTCGCCATGACTCGGCCCGAAAGCTCGCAGTGGCACCTCTTCCAGGCCAATTGCCTATGCATCTCTGTGTCCTCAACTACTCCTAGGTCCACAGCCGCATCGTCAGATCAGTCAAATCCGATCGTCCTACCACACCCTCTGAGATGGTCAAATCATCTGATCAAACGAGGGAATCCGCTTCCCAGCCCGGTCCATTCTGTCTTCCCAGTATCATACTGTGTGGTTGGTCTATCTCGACTAACTTCCGAACCCATGCAGTCCTTCCGCGTCCTTGCACACTCACCCTCCATTCAGTCACGTCGGTCCAGTGTAGGTGAAGAGGAGTTGAGCCCTCGAGATTCAATGACCGGGTTCTCAGAAAACCAGTCCCTCCGCCAGAGGACCGCCCCAAAAGGGACTTGCATTAAACAAGTCGTCGGCAAGGTCCTATCGTCATACTCGTTAAATACAGAGGACGAAAGATTCAACTTGGGTCTAATCAGACCAGCCTCTCCCTCCTTCCCTCCAAGCTATTTCTGAGACCCCTGGTCTCCAACTCGGCTCCATATTGGGCTGATGCAGGAAGGGATACGCGCGGTTCAGCGAACCTATTTACCATTGTTTGTTTCGAAAACTCCCAGACATTGTCTCTCTCCGTGCCCCCCCCCCCCCTCAGCACCCATTCCTAGCCTCTGAAGGCAGCCATGGCTGATCGAAATTCGCTGGGTAGCATCAGTGGCTGGGATGGGAGTTAAAGCCCACAGCGTGGTCATGGTATATCGGAAGCTGCCGATAACAATTCTCGACAGCGACCTCCATGCCTCTGGTTGTGGAGGGGAACTATCCGTACCTGCAACTGACTTCAGTTCGGTTGGCTACCCTCGATCTGCCAACCAAATACTACCGGCTATCCGGATCCGGTATCACCAGTTACAGTTTCCATTCCTTATTGTACCATACGTTTTCATGTCTCTATTACGACCAGACTCATCGAGTTCCAAGCTGTCGATCGTCACCCTCTCAGGGATCTCAGGGAGGCTAATCCCTTACGTTTTCATGTCTCTATTACGACCAGTTCCAAGCCATCGATCGTCACCCCCTCAGGGATCCCAGGGAGGTTAATCCTACCCCAAACTGCACCATGCACGAATCTTCACACCTAACCCGGTCGTTGCCAAGTCACTCTGGCTGGGTAGTTCCCGGACCCGACTTCACTAGACATCTCTAACCCGACCACTCAACGCACATCCCATCTAGGGAGTCTACTAGCCACAGCTTGTTTCCCCATACGCCATGCCCGCACTGGTCGTTCCACCACGTAGACTCAATGAAGCGGGCTAGTCGACGCACGCGTTGTGCCCAAGGATCTCCTATCGGATTGAACTTCGACCTCGATCGTGGTGCCTATGATGGAAGGCTCACTCGCAAGCTAATGTATGACCCTCACAACATAATGCGCCAACAAGAGAGGCCTACAGTTTGGAGCCTCGGCTATGGCACACCCTCAATGCGCTGGTCTCTCGAGACCCCACGTCTCCTGGAGAGGATTGTCTGCTCTCGTTACTGCTGTCTGCAAACTCGCAGTGTTTGGTCATACCGGCTGCGAACCGTGCCAAGAACGGTGTCTCTGATCGCTACAGCGCCCCTGCAGGTCGTCGCTCATATGCAACGTTTGTAATATTCGCATGGAGCACAAGTATGCGCGAGGTGTCCCTTCTGCGTCCTTACACTCACACCAACGGCTCCGCCGCCAACAATGATCTACTGGCATAGGTGCAGAGTGGAGGGGACTTCTCATGTCCAAAGTCATGGGCTCGATCTGCCAATCCGACTTCATCCCCTAGAAGACACGGACAGGTCTAGGTGGGAAAACTCCCTTTGGCCCAGGGTTACTCAAGTCGGACGATGAGGGCATGATTGTCTCGCTCAGGTACAAGGGATGACACCTTAACCTGGATCGTCCTGGATGCCGTCCCGGGTGCTACTGTTGACTCAAGCCGGAGATGGTTCCCTCCCCAGCGGACGCAACGGTTTCGACTGTTAGGATGCCAAACAACCTCACCACAGCCGCCCAGGTTCAGGCCGTGGCTGAGTACCATGGACAACGGACCCAAGCAGCTGGGCTCAGTCAGCACTGCCATGGAACTATGGACACTTTTGGCTGCTACCCCAGGGTCAGCCTTGTTGCCTGTGGTTTCAAAACCGCATGGTCCCAAAGCTACTTCAACACCCGGTGGCCCCGGAAGTTCCACTACCCAGCAACACCGACCCCAACAGGATCACCCACCTTATTACACCCTCGGTGGTGTCCATCACTACGCCGCGATGATCTCTAGGGTGAATTCCCTTTGCCAATGGATGAGACTGGCTCCCTCCCATGTAGATAGACCCAACTCCCGGGTTGGACACCAGGTACCGCGCCACCCTGATGACTCAAGGTGGACTACCAGTGGGAAAACGGCTGCCGAAGAGCATGGGGAAAAACTAAGGGAGATTGGGGTGCCAAATCAACAGCTACATTCCGTCTTTGATTATTCATCTCGGAAGGATAGAGAGCGACTGCAAGAACCAATGATCGCCCAGGCTGTCTTGTGAGGCTTCCAACCATTTAGTACAGATGAAACGAGACAAAGCCGGCATACAACCTACATTCAATCCCAGCTCTATCCCTCCAACTCCTCCTATGTGGGTTGGGTGACCATCCCGGATCTTCTATCGTGCACAGGCCACCTCCAAGCTGTTGTGTTTAGAATGCCAATGTCCATATTAAGCCAAGCACAACCCTATGTGAAGGAGGGGGATTTCCACGTGGGAAACAGGACATGCCACACTACCTGGTCCGAGTCGTCTAACTGGACTACAGATGGATGATCCAATTTCAGGACACCTAGGATCCCTGGTCTATTCCTAACATGATTGCACACAAGATCATGCTGCCCAAGCTCGTTGCTGGACCAGAGCCAGATGAAGTCTAGGACCACATCTGTAAGGATGGTCTCCAAGCTCCATTCCTAAACCAAGGCCAGCAACACTGGGAACCTGGGCTCTTGGATAATCAGAGGAAAGACATTGCTGTCACACTGGCCCATAAGAGTCTGGGGGGCGATGTTATGGAAATGGAGAATCTTATGGTCCGTGACAGGCAACCAGATCTTGAGGCCCTTTGCTATGGAAATGGGCCTAGACTCCTATAGACCAGGCACACAGGTAAGATATTTCTTACTTCTTCTCACTTCATTCTCTGCCAAACCCCATGCCAAGCTTTCCCACTGGGTTTTGGTGCTGGCTGGGGGATTTGTTGATTTCCAAAGGACTTCCTTTGGCCATTATAACATTTGTATTAGATAGATACAAGTCATATGACATGTATGGTAATTGCCGAGATGTTTTCTCATTATCAAATACATAACCCACAAACCTTGTACCGCGATTGTAACATCCTCACCATTGTGTCACCACTGTAAACTCAACCTGTAACCCTGGAACCATTTCCACCTCCCTATTCATCCTCTCCATGACAATATTGTATCTCAGCAGGATACCTCAGTCTGAGTTGCACTTTAGTGTTATTACAATAGTAAGAACAGTATATACAAGAGGAGACTTGCCTGAGTTGCACTTTAGTGTTATTACAATAGTAAGAACAGTAAAGAGCGACTTGGCAGTCACATGACACTATATGGAGCACAGATTGAATAGAAAATGAAGAGAACTAACTACAACACTCCCCCTCAATCCAGCTCCAGCTTTTTGAGCCCCAATAAGGAGCATTGGTGTTGATGAAGGTCTCTAGAGAGAGCCTTTGTAAAAATGTCTGCACAGTTGTCCCTGGAAGCCACCCATTTGATCTCCAATCTCCCTAAGTCAACCTGATCCCTAATCCAGTAGTACTTGGTCTCTATGTGCTTCATTCTCCCATGATGCTCTGGGTTTTTGGCAACTTTGATAGAGGATTGGTTGTCCATGTATAGAGGGAATGATGTGCCTTGGGGGTATCCAAGTTCTTCAAGCAAGTGTGTTGCCCAAGTACCATCTGAGGCTCCTGCATTTGCAGCATAAAGTTCTGCTTCAGTGGTAGACTTGGCAACAACATCTTGTCTCCTACTAGGCCAACTGACACAAGAGGAGCCAATGAAAGACACATATCCTGTAGTGGACAGTGCTTTTGTGGCATCCCCAGCATAGTCTGAGTCAGAGAAAACTGAGAGTGTAACTCCCCCAGAAGGTGATGCCCCCAACTCAAGGCAAAAATCTGAAGTCCCCTTGAGATACCTGAAGACTCTTTGAACTGCATTCCAGTGGACCTTTCCTGGGCAGGAGTTGAAACGACTTAAAAGGCTAACAGCATAGGCTATGTCAGGCCTGGTCCCAATTGCTAGATACATGAGGCTGCCAACTGCACTCAAGTATGGGACACTCTGCATAAAGTCCTTTTCTTCTTGTGGCATATCCTCGATTTTGGAAAGGGTGATGTCAGGATCAAGGGGAGTAACAACTGGTCTGCAATGCTCATGGTGGAAGCGTTGCAGGATGTCAAGGGTGTGTTTGTGCTGAGAGAGCCAGATTGTCCGTTTTGGGCGATTTCGATGAACTTCTAGGCCTAGGATGTAGTTTAACTCCCCCAGATCTCGCATTTCAAACTTAGCCTTGAGCTGATCTTTGAGGGCAGTCAAAGCAGCCAAATCGTTACAGGCTAGAGTGAGATCATCCACATAAACTGGAATTATCACCTTGACATGGTCTTTGGCCCAAACCCAGATAGAGTTGTCACTGGGGCACCTCTTGAAGCCCAGATCCAGGAATGTCTCATGGAGCTTTTGGTACCATTGGCGAGGGCTCTGTTTAAGGCCATAAAGAGACTTCCTGAGACGACAAACCATATGCTCCTTCCCAGGTTCCACAAATCCCTCAGGCTGAACCATGTATATATCTTCATCCAAATCCCCATTGAGAAAGGCTGAGGAGACATCCATATGATGAACCTCCAAGTCCTCAATTGCAGCTATGGCAAGAATGGTTCTGAGAGAGGCGAATTTAGCAACAGGGGCAAAGGTCTCTGTGTAGTCGAGATGGGGTTTCTGTGAAAAGCCCTGTGCTACGATTCTGGCCTTGTATCTCTCGATAGAGCCATCTGCATTGTGCTTAATTTTGAAGACCCACTTTGAACCAACAGATTTTCGACCCCTAGGAAGAGGAACCAGATCCCAAGTGCTGTGTGCTAACATTTGAGTGTATTCCTTCAATGCAGCCTCCTTCCACAGTGGCCAATCATCTCGTTTCTGTGCCTCCTTCATAGATCTGGGTTCAGCAATTGAAGTGGCCAGCGAGTACTCAACCATTTCTTCCTGTGACAAACCCTTAACCTTGGACTTTGCAAAGAGAGCAGCCATAGCGAGTTCATCTTCTGAGTCCTCCTCTGGTTCATCAGCATCAGCCTCAGAGTCAGAGTTGACACCAGGGGTTGGCTCTCTGGCTTCCCACTTGCTCACAGGTGGGGAAGGAGTTGGAGTTGGTTGCACCTTCCACCACTCACCTGGTGGTTTTCCAGCATTGGAGCGAGTAGTTCTGCGCAAGTTTGAGGTCCCAGAAGAAGAAAGTGGTGCAGGGGGTGGAGAAGGAGATGGAGAAGGAGATGGAGGAGGTGGTGGAGATGGAGATGGAGAAGGGGCAGGGTTGGCGAGAGGTACAGGGTGTCCAGTGTCAGAGGATAAAGTGAAGGTGTCACTATCAGCTAGAGGAGTGAAGCGATTGTGGGCCTTGTTATCTCCCCCTGACTCTGGCACTGGTGTCAAGTGGACAGGAGTGTAAGCAGTGTTAGGGTTACCAGATTTATTTCCAGGCATGGATTGTTCATCAAAGATCACATCTCTTGAGATAATTGTTTTCTGAGTAGATGGATCATAAACCTTCCAACCTTTGAAGTCTGGTGGATACCCAATAAAGATTCCACGACAAGTTTTTGATTGGAAACTTTTCCTTTTGTCCTTCTGCACATGGACATAGGCCTGGCACCCAAAAACACGAAAATGGGACACAGAGGGCTTCCTATTGAACCAGCCTTCATAGGGAGTGATGTCCTCAAGTGAGGAGGAGGGAGAGCGATTTAGGACATGAAGGAAGGCACCTAGAGCATCTCCCCAGAAAGAACCAGGAAGTGATGACTCATTGAGCATAGAAGTGATCCCTTCATCAAGAATCCGATTAGTACGTTCTGCCACTCCATTCTGCTGTGGTGTAGCAGTAGTGGTGTGTTCCCTCATAATGCCATGTTCCTTGAGATAATTATCCATCTCTTTGCTCATATACTCCCCCCCTTTGTCATCCCTAAGTGCCTTGATGGCAAATCCAGTCTGCTTCTCAGCAAAGGCCTTGTACACCTTGAAGGCAGCAAACACCTCTGACTTGTTCTGGAGCAAGTAGATTACACGATAGCGAGTGTAATCATCCACAAAACTCACCCAGTACCTATGACCCCCTGGTGTTGGAACTGACACTGGCCCATGGACATCTGAGTGGACAAGTTCCAAGGGCTTAGTTCGACGATTGGAGGCAGACTGGGGAAAGGGGAAGCGATGTTGCTTGCCTGCTAGGCAGTGTTCACAGATGTCAGGAAGGGAGGAGGGAGGGGAAGTTCCAATGTTGAGGTCCTTTACATATTTCCCAGAGATGAGTTGCTTGAGTCGATTTCGACCAATATGGCAAAAACGACGATGCCAAAGATCAGGTGAGGAGGCTGTGGTCCTCAGAGCTGCTTGAACAACAGTAGCACCATCCAATAGGGCAGTGTTGTCATTTGAGACTGATGCCTGGAATAGGAGCTGTGAATTCAGCATGAAGCTCATAGTGGCTTTCCTGATGTTAACCTCGAAATTCTTCTTCTTGGTGAGAGTGAGAACTGAGAGGAGGTTGTTGGCCAGCAAGGGGACATGGAGAACATCTGAGAACTCAAGTTGGCGTAAGGGAACTCCATCAACTATAGGAGTAAACACAATGGACCCAATACCAGCTGCATATATCACATTGTTGTCAGCAAGACGAACAGGGACTTTGCAAGGTCTATATGTCTTAAACCACTCTCGATGAGGAGTCATATGAGAAGTGGCACCTGTGTCTGCAATCCAACAATCTGGTAGGTCAGCAGGGGTGGAGAGGGCACATGCATTCCCAGCAAACTCCTGACATTTGTCACTTGGGATGTGTTGCCTTGTTCCAAACACTTCTCTTAGCCACATTATTAACCAGCTATTTTCCACCTTAAGTGAACCCCTGGAATCACAAAAGTTGCCATTAAGGCAAAGGTCAGACTTGACCTGCTTCACAAGCTGGCAAATAATCTCAAGTGCACCCCTGGTAACACAAGAGAGGCAGAGTGTGAAGGGAATGACCCAGTAGAACTTCAAAATGGTGGAGGCAAGCCAGGAAATGGAGCACTCGACACTAAATTGAGACGTGAGCGAGAGTACTATGTGAAGTATACTCTGCCCGAAA